ACCTGTGCAGTGTGGACTTGGGAGAACTCCGGCCCGGCCGGGACCTGCAGTGTGCAGGTGTGGACACTCGGTTCTGAGTGCCCGTCACGCTCCAGACGGGGCCCTGCCGCCTGCCTGGCTGGCTCAGCCCCCGCCGGTCCTCACCGTGCCCCGTCCTGGTGTGCGTCCCCAGATGGGGCCCTCCCCACAGACACAGCGGCCTGTCCCACTCGTGTCCACCATCCTCAGGGAGCTGCAGGCCCGACAGGTATGCAGCGAGGGTGCGGTGGCCGGGCCAGGGCCTCGTCTGCCCCCGGGAGTGAACTCGTTCCCTGGCACACACCCTGTCCCCCTGCACTGAGCAACCGCCCTCCGGAGGCCACAGGAACAGAACAGCAAATGCGTGACTTCCGAAAGACAGACCAGCTCCACAGCTCGCCTGGTGACAGGAGCAGGCGCTGCGGGCACTCATATCACGCCACGCTTCACCGTAATTCAAATTCTCTAAAATGTAACTTTTAGGGGGTAAAACTATGGGTTCAGGTCAGCACTGAGGGGAATATGCAAAGGAACACTTTCAAATACGATACCAGCTTCCTATTTTTATTTCTCACTCATCGAGAGCTTGAAGTAAAAGATTTCTTATGCTTTAGCTTTATACTGAACACAGCTACTCAAGTTCACAAAATCTCCCTTTGAGCTGCATGGGAGAAGTTTCAAATGACTTCCGTAGCCCCCATTATATGCCTACAACCCAGCACGGTGGGAGGCTGAGACAGGAGGATCATTGCAAATTCGAGGCCAGCCTGGGCTGGATCACACTACATGGCAAGACCCTGTCTCCAAAAATGAAAACAACCCAAAAATATATCTCTGTTTGAAATCATTTTTATATCTGAAATCTGGATTTATAGTTCCATCTTCTTGAGTCGAACTGTGAGATGCTGCGTATTTGAGATAATTTCCCACGTTCATTAAAACTCTTAAGTTAATGAAGTAACCAGTTTTCCTCTCCAAGCTCACAGGGAGCAGCAGCCCAGAGAGAAAGTCGTCCTGAAAGACGCCTGGAGCGAGACGCCTGGTTAGAGAGCTCAGGACCAGATGCCTAAGGGCCAAGCCCCGGTGACAGACTGCCATGCTCCCGCCTCACCTGCCCTGGCCTGCGGAAGAGACTGACTACAGACAGCTGGGTCGCTGTGCAGTTCCCGTGTGCAAGAAGGACAGTGCGCCATTCTTCTCTGCACCGGCCTTGTGCCCTGGTGGCGTTGTACTGAGAAAATCCTCATCGGGGAAAACAGTCAGATAAATACCATTTGATGATTAATAGTTCATTTCCTTACGCTAATATCCTAAGTACTTTTTAAAGGAACAAATTCTTATCTAGATTATGGAAAGCATTTTTACTGAAAAAAGCCAATGAAAATTATAAAATAAGGCAAAGGAGGCTTTAGTACTTTTTAAAGTTATTGTCATTAAGTCTTGAAACTATCAATATATTTAGAGAATCACATAATCTGTTTGGTAAAATTGTGGTCAAGTAACACATAACCGATTTCTTAATGGAACAACTTCCACAGAGAAAAACAGAAACCAGGTTGTGCTGTTTAGGGTCATAGTGCTGCTGGCTCAGCATGAATCCAGCTCCCTCTGTTCCTCTCTGCCTGGCTGCTACTTCGGACGTGCCTGCAGCCACTGCGGAGGCTGTTCCGGTGACACCGTCTGGGTCTGCACAGGTGTGCCACTGTGTGACCACGCAGCCCCCGCCTCCCTCCCACTCCCGACCGGCCTGGAGCCTTCCAGGTCCGACCGCCGACCCTGCTGCTGGCTCGCCGTTGCTCACACTGCACAGACCCGCACTATCTTGTCAACACCGGGGCTGGAGGGGACCAGAGGCATGGAGGCCCTGACGCCGGCCGCAGAGAGCACAGGAGCACAGACCCCGATACCGGGTGGGAGTTCAAGCCCCGGCCCAGCAGGCCGCTGGGAGCACTGCCCTGCAGGCTCAGCCTTCCGCCAGGGCAGTGCGCAGACAGTGAGTCAGTGAGGCGTGGCACATGCGTGACACACACGCATCATCACGCACACAGCGAGTGTTCAGTGCATGCCAGCTCCAGCCTGGGACTCGATTTTATTCAGCCCATTCCGCTAGTGTGGTGAGACCCATGGTCACGGAAGGCTCCTCTGCCTTCATCCTGGGAGTCACGCTCAAAGCGTGTGGAGACCAGAGAGGGACCAGGGCAGTGGACTCTGACCCTGGGAGGCCCCCACCAGCTGCAGTTCACTTCTTCATGGAGCAGCACCTCTGCCACAGTGCGGTCACAGACACGGAGCAGCACGCCATGCCAACACTGTCTCCTCCACGGTGCCCACAGCGGGGACCACGGCCTATGCTGCGTGCAGCAGCCCTGGCCGATCTATCTGCGGCACATGACTTCCCTGCAGGAGGAAATTGAGCCCCTCAAAGGCGCCTCGGCAGGGACCCCCACAGGAGCTTAAATCCTGGGGCCGCAGCCATACCCACCGATGAGGCCACGGAGATCAGGACACCAAGCATCCAGGTCTCCTAGCAACAGCTGGGCCTGGAGAAGAGTGTCACACACAAACTCTCGGTCACAGTGAGCCCAGGCCCGGGGTGGACGCAGGAGCCAGCTACTCACCAAACAGACTGCTGGAGTGGCCTTCTCTGGAGATGGGCTTCAGTTCGTTCAACCCCCAGGCGTAGCGCTTGTAATTATTCCAGGCATGTTTCATCATCTGGGGGGAAGTGGAAACCAGATTAGAGTCTGAATGCGGGTCGGCCAGCCGACAGACCGTGTGCTCTAACTCCAAAGGTTAGGACGGGCTCCTGTCTGACTCAAAAGGCCGCTGACGTGGAAAGCAACCTCAGCACGTGTGCATCGCGTGCGCACACCACGCTTTTAGGCTGATAAATGAGAAGTTTTCTTTTTCAATCCATTTAATCCTATTTAATAAAAATACCATTTAAAAACATCAGTTCCCAGCAGCAGAAAGTTAGCTTATCCCTAAAGGATGAATCATTCCCACATTTATCTGTTCAAGTCTCCCAACAGATTAGATCTGTAAGAGTCTACATTTAAAATTTATATTTTTGCCTGAAGTTCCTTCTACTTTATCTCTTGTTACGTAGACAAAAATCTCAAAATTCTCACTTTAAGCACTAATGTTTTCTGATCATGACTATATAGAGAAGTATTTTGAAATACCCACAGGAAATAAAAAGCAGATTAGGTTATGCCTAGATTTTAAAAAAACTCCATATATTTTAATATCTTTAATTGGACCTGTGTGTATATATGTCCATGCTTTTCAAAGCAAACTTCTATCCCTTACATTAGTTGTATACGTTTTTTCAAGCCTCAAAGATCACACATAATTATTTTTGTGTAGATTTTCTCTTAAAAGCATTAGGGACTTGTCCATCTACAACTGCTTCATGCTACTGCCCTTTGGAAACAATAATCGAAGTACAGACATGTTCCTAAATGTTCTAGTCAGGCCCCATATTTAAAATGTTTTAGAAAGGATCACATAACACAGACACCGTTCCAGGGACAACTGGAAGTCTGCACTGAACTCACACCGCTTTATCCACCAGGAAGCCTCACCAGCCCCTGAACGCTGTGCCAAGCCTCTGACCACGCACACCACGCCCCTCGCCACCCTCACCACAACTCAGCCACCAGGAAGCTCCCACCTGCTGGGCACTCTGCTCAGTTTGCTTTTGGTGTAGAATTTAGTTTTTACTACAACCCTGTGAAATAGGCTTTATTACCATCGTTTAGTAGACGAACGAATGGAGGCCTGGAACTTGCAGATATGCCGCGCCTCGAGCCCTCAGTGTCCATTGCTGAGGAGCCAGCCTGTCCTCCAGGGCGAAAGCCACACATGTGTGCTTCCAGAAATCAAGACGATATCGGCCCAGGGTAGTGTCTACAAGTTTCCTTCTCACACCTGAATCTAACTGGACAGTGTCATGGATTGAAGGCCAGGTAGCTTTATTTATAATCTGTCCAATGTCACTGATCTGTCACACACTCAGGAGTGGATCACAGTGAGGCTCTTTCCTCCTCTGAAGATGCGGGCTCAGCATTCCCGAACTCCTCAGCTGTACCTCCCCATGGCGTGGCCTGTGTCCTCAGAGTGTACTGCTCGGTAGGCAGGGCACTCACGCATTTATGAAATTTTAAACCGTATATTAAATCAGTCACATTCACACGGAAAACAGAAACCAGGGGGCTCTGAAAGACTGGATCATGAAACATAGAGACTCTTAGACCATACCTGAGATTTGTTTGTTTTTTCCACTAACTGTACTATGTTTGGTAAACTCTTCTGTGCAGTAAATTTCCAAAGATAACTTTAAAAGCAGAATACACTTGACATAAAACAGAAAAAACTAACCATGCCTCATCTCAGTGCTCACTGCACTGAGACTCTAAGACACCCTGTGGCTCTCCACAGGGCAGGGCGTGGTGCTGCTCACTCGGAGGTCCTGCTGTGCTTGATCTGCAGCCCGCCCAGTGCACCCTCCAGCTCCCCTCTGAGGTGCGTGTCAACCCTTCCCATCCCTCTTCCCGAGGACAATCCCTCTAATTTCCATACACTGTGGTGACACGGTTCTCAGAATGGGTCCCTCCTCTCAGGAGGGTTCGGGAGTTAAAGGTGAACCCGAAGAAGAAATAATGTGGCCAGAGCGTCCTGAACAGCATGTCCGGGAGGTTTCTCCAGGTCTCCAGTGAGGAGAAACAGCCACCCCGTTACTGGCTGTGGTCACCTCCCAGCGTGACCTGCTGGTTTAAAACGACTGAGACGTGTGAATGTGTGTTGTGTGTGTGAGTGGGTACACAGGCACAGAACAACCATGAGACAGGATTCATTAGTCATACATACAATGAATGGGCCCCTCACTTTTGTCCTACAGCTTCCATGAACTCAGTTAGGGTTAGAAGAGGCCTACGCTGGAGGAGGATCAGGGCTTCAAGGGCGATGCTGAGCCTCTCCCGAAAGAGTAAGAACAGGTGAGCTGAGGTGTCTGTCCTGCGTTTCTCATCGGCGCTGGTGTGAAGAACAGTGGCACTGACACACCATGGGGACAGAACCAGGCACACTTCTCAGCAGCAATCCCCCGACCCAGAAATGGAGCTATGGCGTAAGATAGGTAGGAACTAGCACTTACTTCTCTGGGATTCTCTGCGGACAGAAAAGACCCTTTGATCTGGACTTTCTTTTCACTGACACCGGGCCAAGTAGTTGCAGTGTCATTTACTAAGTGTCTCCTGCCCGAATAACAAGCTGCACAGGACTAGAAAGGAAGGGGTGGACTCCTCCTCACTTATCATCCTACAGACCACGTGTGCACACTCAAAGCCCTCCTCCATGGCCAGTAAAGTTTATACCTACAGGAACTTAATCGAATGCTACACAACTCTATCGTTGTACCTAACAATTTGTTTTCAGTGTTATGTCCAATGTAACCAAGGACAGTGGAAAGAGACACGCTTGGTTTTCCTCAGCCTTCCTAACTTGTGTGTCTGGGGTTGCTAGAGCTCTTATTAGCAAACATTTCTATTTGCTGAAGCTTTAATCATCTACTTTGATCTCTTCATAATAGGTGCACTAAACTTTCTGAAAACCTCCGTCATGGCCAGGCTGGTTGGACCAAGCTGATGGGCTTTTACTGCCCATCAGGAGCCTGCAAGCTCAAGTCCCACTGACAGCCCCTTCCGGGGTCCGACCCAGCGTCCACAGCTGCTACCACATAATCGGCCCCACTCGATGCTCCAGGCCACCGGCCTGGTGTGTGGTGTTCACGACAGGGGTGGAGCTGGGCGGACCGGGCATCTTCTCCACCCAGGGCTGTGTAAACCCAGCCAGGCAGACAGTGTGGAGCCAGGGAGCCGGGCAGGCGCAGACACACAGCAGGGCCCGCCAGGAGGCATGAGGCTGCGGAATCTTGAGGGAGAGAGGGAAAGGAGACAACAGGAGGTGCAGGCTGCGAGGCGGAGACAGGTGGCAGCCACCGTGTGCGCTTGGCCATGTGTGCTTTAGTCTGCACAGTGTCTGGAGGACCACTGGCAATGGTGCAGAGTCCCAGATGCTGATGCACTTCCTTCTTCTCCAGTGGCTACCAACCTCAGAGACAGCAGCTTTCTTCCCGGGTCCTGACAGAAAACCCTCCGGATTACTCGGGAGTAACTCCCACCTGAGGGTAGACTGGAGAAGAGCAGCCCACTGTATACACCTCATAGCCAAGCCTGCAACAGCCACAGGCCTCCCAGAGAGGCCGTTACCTCCTGGGCCTCCTGCCGCCCTCACCAAACGGGAGCCAAGAAAGCCACCCTGGCTGGGCGAGGTGCAAGGAAAAACATCGCAGCGGAGGCTGGATGCAGTGCCGGACACCCGGAGTGCCCCACGTGAGAGGTACTGTAATTACTCTTGCCGGGAACCTAAACATGTCTTTGATCTTTGGAACCGTGAGTTCCCCAATTTTAACTGGTAACATACGCATGGGAGGCACAGACAAACAAGAAGCCAGGCAAATCGAGATGGTACACGGACTCTTTACAAGTCTATACATTTAAAGATACACAGCTAACTGGTATCCAAGAGGCAGAGAGAGAGGGTCCTTCTCAAGTTGGAGGCCACGTGTCATACTGAGTGCTAAACGCTCACCCACTCATCTAGGGCGTCCGAAGCCTCAGCTGGGACGCTGACCTTGCACAGGGTTTGCTGCAGACCCGGCGGGCTGACCCGGGGCTGGGGATTCCCAGGCAGGCGCGCCCAACACGCTCGCTATGGGGTGCACTGCACAGGGCCAGGGAGGGCACTCCTCACTGAAGGGCACCTGGAGGTGGGCACTAAGAGGGGGCAGGGGAGCTCCCGGGGGATGGCCGGAGAGGGACAGGATACAGGGCTTGGGAGTGGAGTGTTGCTCAGTGGACCGCGGGGTCTCTGGGGTCCGAGCGGCGTGGGTGTCCATAGCGCAGTGCCTGTGTCGCCTGAGGTACAGGCAGCCTCTGTGTGGCCGTGTCACACAGCAAGATGCACACGAATGGAGCTCGGTCCCCAGCAGGAACCAGGCCGTTCCTGGCGTACTACGGGGCAGCCTGTGGGTGGCTCTCTGGCGAGAGAGGCTGGGGCAGTGACCTGCAGGTCCACGCCAGGCCAAGCCCAGGCCAGGTCCACGGGGAGATCAGTGGAGTCGCCGACTGCTGGGGCGGGGAGCCCTGTGCCACCGCATTAGGGTCACATTTGGGGTGACGGTTTGCACAGCACTGAAATAAAAGCCTGACGTTGGTTTCTACCAAACTGCAGAAATGACTTGTCATGTGAAGTAATTTCTCGAACTTCCAGAACAACAGTCGCTGTTCCTTCCTCCTTCCTTCCTTGCAGTCTTGGTAGAACTGGAAATGGGAGGAGGGGCAGGACACTAGGTAACTTCAGGGAATCAACTCACAGCCCGACCCTCACATGCTCTCGCTCAGTTATCTGGCTGTCTGGGGGACAAGAAGCTCTACACAGGGGCCAGGAGACTGCTGTGTGGCCACCTGCTGCTCTGCTCCCCCAGTGTCCCAAAGACTCCAAGGACCAGAAGGAGCCCCAGCCCTGCCTGCTAAGGTCTGAGCCCTCAAACCTCCACTTTCTTACCATTAAAAGCTGAGTCAGGTGCAGCCCTGCAGGCGGGACAGGGAGACCGGGCCACTTTCTGCATTTTTGCTCAATCCTGTTGTGAACCTAAAGTTGCTCTTTAAAATATAAGGTATTTAAAAAATAACAGTATCTTCCTAAGGATAATTTTAAACACACTGCCTTGCCAGCTGCTCAGGAGTGAAAACCTGGCCCTGCTGCAGTGGGGCCCACCCAGTGGTGCGGCTGACCCTGTCCACGGCGCCACCTCCTGGGGCTCCTCCAGGCTTTGGGAGGACAGCGGCTCCTGATTTACTGACCGCGAGTGGAGAGGAGAATTAATGGGACAGGAGCGAAAAGAGGCCAATGTCGCCTGGAGGTGACAGCACGCGGAGCGCCCCAGGAGGCAGCCTGATGTCGTCAGTTACATGCCACGCACTGAGCCCTCTCCTCACAGGCAGAGAGGTCACTGAGACCGGGAGCAACCTCCACAGGGGACCCGCACCCCAGTCCTCTCCATAGGGACCGCTTCTGGGTCCTCCACATCGCAGGAGAGCTCTTCAGCTGCACTGCCCCCTCCTCCCAGTGCGGAAGTGCAGGCCTCGCTCCTTCTCCTTCTGGTACCCAGACCCCTTCCTCAAGGTCACAGGGACAATCTCCTTCCCGAGCACCAACCGCGCCAGGACAGGAAGTATGGCTGGGGCAGCACCGGCTGTGGGCTGAGGAGGAGCAGCTGCGGGGACACACTGACCTGTAAAGGCCCTGCTGTTCACCTGAGATGCTCCTGCAGGGGCACTGGACCCTCGGGGCCACTTTCACCCCACTGCCAGTTCTGCCGAGTCACTGCTCAGCCGCGGACTCAGAAAAGGGGCAAAACCAACGGGCATGCAGGAACTGAGGCGGGGTCCATGCACACCGGACAGGACGGGACAGGACACGTAGCCAAAACTGAGGCCCCAACCAAAGCCCCTTTTAAAAGAATCCACCGGCTAAGGTGGAAATGGACACACACCCCGTGCCCCGGCTGAGCCACGTCCTCTCCTAGGCCTGTCCTCCCAGCAAGGTCCCCTGAGCCCTCGGGACTGAGATGCTGGAAGCCTTGTGCACAACCCCAAGTTCCACCTGGGCGCCAGTCTCACATTTAGAATCTTAAGTACTCTGCTGTACAAATTAAGCCACGAGAGCAGCGGGGAACGGCGGCGCAGGCCTCCTGTAATCCCAGGGACCCAGAGGCTGAAGCAGGAGGATCGCCAAGCACAAAGCCCGGGCAGTTTACTGAGACCTTATCATAACACGCAAATTGAATGAATGAATGAACAAAGGAGCGAAGAATGGATGGACAGGGCTGTGCTGTAGCTCCGCAGTGCAGGGCCTTGCTAGCAAGCCCACGAGCTGACTTGAGTTCAATCCCCGGCACCAGAAAGAAAACCAAACAAAACTAAGAGTCGCCCTCCCTCTGCGTTTCAGAGTTGGAAGCTGCAGGGATCTTGTCTCCGCTGTGCCTGACACCTTCCATGCTGCCTGCAAAGGGCACCTGATCTGTTTGTTACCCCTTCCTCCTCATGCACCCTCAGGGCTGGAAACTGAGAAGGCTGAGGTGTGCACTGCCCAGAAGCGAAACCAGGCTGCAGAGCTCCTCCTGCAGATTCTCCCCAGGGCTCCGCTGTTCAGAGCCCAGAGGGAGAGCGGCCCTGAGCAGGTCGGACTGGTCAGGCCCCCCATGGCCGGCTCCCCCCTGCTGAACCAACACTTGTCACAGGCCACTGCAGGCCTATGAGAAGCAGGTCCTTCTCCCGTTTCCAGTTCTCCCGGCCTGAGCTGCAGGCTCCACAGCCCACAGCTATGGGCCCCAAGGTGGTCAGCACACGAGGACAAGGGCAGCCAAGGCCTTCCTCTCCCTCCTCCCAGCTGCCGAGGAGCTGTGCGTCCCTCAGCTGCCTCTTCAAGAGTGGATGTGATGTGTGGATCCTCTTCAGATCTGGATGGCCTGAATTCCTCCACAGCCAATTTCAATAGACGTTTTTAAGCCAACAGGAGCTACAGAAAGCAGGAGTAATTATTTAACGCTACTGCATGAATTTTAATGGGCCACTGAGCATTAATTCCCCAGTGGAATGAACGAGTGGATAGCAATGGCAATTTCTTTGGAAAGATTCAGGTGCCTACTAATAAAGCCAGATCTTTAAAAAATGAAAATTTTAATAATTGTTACTTCCAGAGGACAGATTGACCTGTTTCTAAGAAGTATCCCATTCTCCTAAGAAAAAGCCATGGAGCTGGTTGTAGCTAAAAAAGAAAAACTGAACATGTGCATTTAATGGTTCTTTCTTTATGACCAAGGTCTGACAATTTATAGAACTTTTTCTCTATGACCAAAAGGGAGAGGGTTCATGACAAAAACCAAAACAAAACACACAAAGAAAAGCAAAATGAAGAAAAAGAGAGAGAGAAAAAAAGAAAGAATATGAAGCACTTGATAGTTACATGAGTACATTTCTCTCAAATGCTCACTGGGATGGTAACACAGCCTCTCAGAAACGAGGGGCTGGAAAAGGCCTTGTCCACATGCCAAACATCCAGCATGCTGGCCTCTACCATTGAGAACATTTTCTTCTCATGAAACAGCTACCGTGAAAGCTATAGGTTTGTCACTCGCATTATCTCCCCACCAAAATGTCCACTTGTGGTTCATAGCATTGGTCTCTAATGCCAAAGTTTTCACTTGAGTTTAAAAGCTTAGCTCAGGACTTTCCTTTGGTTTACCTCACTGATTCTAATTAACAATAATGCTGTATTTATTAGACTAACCTCGCTCGGCCTTGTGTGGGCCATGTGGGGCTGGGGCCACCAGCTGGCCCTGTATGGCCCCGAGCCCAGGTTGGATGCTGGCCCTTCAGCAACCCACCTGCCTCGGCATCCGGGGGGCATCGCACCACCGTGGGGATGCCAGGGAGCCCCTTTTGACTGACGAAACCAGAAAGCCACTCTCTAGAAAGCAAACGCTGTTCTCAGGGACATTTCACCCCAACCATCTTTTTTTGGTTCTTATATTCACAATAAAAACGCAAGTCCACACATTCTCAACCCACAAGCACCACTCCGCAACTCCATTTTCCTACCTTCCCACGGGATATGAAGCGACTGTGCAAAAATTGAAATACATTATCCTTTAGGGATTTATTTATGTATTTGTCAAGTTCATAAAGATTAAACTTTTAGCTTTTAGATTGCATTTTTAAATTTCAAAAAACACTGCAAAGCCATTAAAAACATCAATAATACTAGCTATGAATAGTAAAGCCAGTAATTACAAAAGCTCCAATCTGTGAAAAAGAACTAGTTTGAATTGTGTAAAATTGAGCAAAACTCAGGGATAGTTAACTTTTACACACACATTTTATTTTTTTAGTCAGCCAACTACCTAGAGAATCAGGCCATCTTCTTCAGTGTCAGGGTGTGTTTCCTTTTTTTCTTTAATTTCTGTGTATTTTCCAAATAAACCTTTTGGAGCAGCTTTAAGGTCTCAGCAATGCTAAACAGGAGGTTCCCAGTGCCCCTGCACCCTGTGTCTATGTGAACACAGCCTTCTCCCCTGCACATCAGGCAGAGAGAGGCAGCGCCAGCCACAGCACAGCCAGCCGAGGCCCTGGTGTGCCTCGGGGCTCACCTCAGTGTTGCGCGCTTGATGGGTTCTGACACCCGCAGAATGGCTCGTTTGCACTACGACCTGAAGGACTCTTCCTGCCCCACAGCTCCTGCTGTGTCTTCCAGTGCAACTTCTCCTGCCTGCTGGCAAACACCAACGCGTTTGCTGCCGCGGGGCGGAACTGGCTTCTTCACTGGTGACGGCATGTAAGGCAGCCCACGCCGTCTGGCTTGCTGGCTCACTCCTGGCACGAACACTCCTTTGTCTGCACGGGCCCAGTCCATCGTCTGGTCCCCTGCTGACCAACAGGACGGCTTGGGTGCTTCCAGGTTTGCAATTATGAATAAAGACATATCAAAGGGAAAGCTGTAGAACTTTTTAACTTAGGCCCAGAAACCACTACTCTCTTAACTGAAGTACTATGAGTTATAATTTATAAGTTAAAATAGATTGATTATAAAGTATCATACATGATAGGAAATTTGCTATTATAAATACTCCTACAGCTACGGATGTGGCTCGGTGGCAGAGTGCTTGCCTGGCATACATCAGGCCCTGGGGTTCAATCCCCGTACCCTCAAAAACAAAAACAAAAAAACCTTCTAAAATAACTGCTCTTAAAATTATACATTAGTAGGGAAGCAGAACACCTACTCTCATGCTAGAATCCGTAGCACGTGACACTCTGGAAGTATTCCTTCTGTGTACCACAGATAGCAGTTTAAGCAATTATCTGGGCCAGATGAGGTGCTGCACACCTGTAATCTTGATACTTAGGAGGCTCGGGCAGTAGGACTGCCATGAATTCGAGGCCAGCAAGGGACACCTAGTGAGTTCAAGGCCGTCCTGAACTCCACAGCAAGGCCTTGTCTCAAAAAAATTACTGTCTGGACATAATGATGATACAATGCATTAAAAGGAGGTATTTAGAAATAGCTTACAAAAAGTAATATTTATGAAGTATTACAAGAAACACTGATTCTGAAGTACAGAAATGTCTACAACAAAATGTATAGGTACTTCAGGAAAAGAAACACTTAAATGGGTGCGCATTTTCTGGAGGACTCTGTGTAATACTGGAATAGCAACTAATGATTCTGCACTTCTTCAGGGTGTTTTCTTATCCTCCTGTGGCAGACACGGCCAGCGCTGGCAGGGGTGGGGAATGCACTCAGGGGACACAGTGCATACTCCCCTCACAGGGCCATGGGGAGCCGGTCTCCCCACACAGTCCCACGCATGGTGGAACGTCAAGAGGGGGCTGCTCACAGCCAGGCCGCCCATGAGGGTCAGAGGCCACCTCTCAGGCCCTGGGGCACCACCTGGCACAGTTCTGAGCCCAGCAGGGGGCTGCGCAGTGTGCAGGAACAGCACCTTCCAAAATAAACTTCCCAGTGAAGTGTTGTTCACGTGCTGCTGGCACAGGTCTCTGTGTTTACATTACCTAGTTATTCAGGGGAAATTTAACTTGTAAGAGGGAGGTTTTCGAAACATGTCTTGCAAAACCAGCTTCCGATTTCCCTTCTTTTTGAAAATTGTCCTGGTGCAGGGAAGAACTTTAAATTTATTGGTAGATAAAGGACCCAAAAGAGACTCTCTTGCTTCTGGGCCCCACTGGGAAGATGTGATTTTATATATGTTGAAAAACAACTCTGTTATGTAAATTTTAACAGCTGAAAAGTCTTTGCTTTGAAAGGCACTGTCTCATCTTTATCTGGCCCCAGGCAGTTTTCCTGTCTTCATTCTGGGTTTCTGCACTGATGCTGTTTAGGCACCAACGGAATCTCCCAGTAATTTCCTTCTATAGCCACTAAAGACATGCACTGCTCAATCTAACTAGTTCCCGTGGCAGCAACACTAAAAACTGTCCCTGAATTGGCAACATATTTCTTTTCAAACCTATTTTTAAAAACCAGTTCAAATATCGATTAATTTTTTAGGCTTTCTACCGTTTCATTTACTCTTACGGCATTAAGATCACCGTTGTCACTGCTGCGAGTGGAGGGTGATCGCGCGCCCGTGTGACTGGCAGCTTAAGGAGCTCGTCCATCTGACTGATGTTACCATCATGAGCCCCTTTCTGCGGGCTGAAGATCACCTGAGACGCACCATAGCAACCGCAAGGGTTTTCCGAGTCGGAAAACGCATTAAGTGCCACGTGCGGGTACAGGCCGATTTCCCCCACTCACGATCAGCGACCTCAGGGCTTCTGGCTGCCAGCGCCCAGCAAAAGCTCGGGCAGGATTCCCTGACCGTTAACGTGGACAGTGTGGCTTAGCAGCACTGGGTCCGGTGGCTGCCCATTCTGTTCAGCTTAAAAACTGGGCAGAGATCTTCTTAAGTTCAAAGGGAAGAGAAACACTTGCCCAGGTGGTCAGAGGGAGAACAGTTTACGTCGAAGGGACTTTGAGCTCTGAGACTAACAGAAGCGGAGGAGATGCTGACCGCACGCTCTGGGGCTCCGCACCCGGGGCCCGTCCCCGTCCCGTGGCACAGAGCTGCCCGATCGCTGTGTGCTTTCCTGGCCTCGCTGTCCCTGTGCTGCGAAGCCAGGTGTGCCGCCTGGCAGCCGCGTGTGCTCACCCGCAGTGGCGCTCTGCTACCACGCGAGGTCAGGAGGACAGGGGCGCTGCAGGGCACCGTCGTCACGAAGCACCAGCCCGCTCGACTCCACGTTCCGACGAAGGCTGTGCTGCTCACAGATCGAACTCCGGGGAGGGGACCTAAAACGATAGAGCTCTCCTTTGGCTGCTTCTTTGAAACGTGAGTGACGGGGTCAAAGCCAGACTTCAGGCCACACCCCGATTTGGGAAAACAGGAAACACTTCTACTTGTCCGCTGTTTGGGAGCTGAAACTACTACAAAGGCTTTATGGTTGTACAATGATAAATAGCCTGACATCGCAGACACATCATCTGATGGGCGTCACCCCACTGCCTGCATCCACGGCTTTTAAAAGAGGTTACCAACAGGATTTCTGAACTCACTCAGAAACAGCCACATCACGAAGCAATTAGTTTTCCTCTGCCTTGGTGGAAAAAAAAGTATTTGGTCAAAATTGTTCAAGTAAACACTGTTATCAAAGAAGACTAGGCTATTTTTTTTTTTTAATGAAATCTTCAAATACCAGTGAAGGGGCCTGCTGTGATATAATTTAGCCACAGTGCTCCTGTAATTGCGTCCTGTTTTGTTAACTGTACTAAAGAGCTTTAGCGTTCTGAAAGGGGCTCTGGTTAAACAAAATTCAATAGTATGTTTACCAGACATGGTGCTTCTGGCTAGAAAGAATGATGACACTAGTTGAAATATTTAATTTTTATCTACTTTTGTAGAGAATCAGCTCAGTTACATTTTCTATTTCTCTAATATAAATTTATCTCCCTTATGCATGTGTGTATGTGAGGGCACAACTTCCCTCCCAGAGTTTTATCAATACCCCAGCTCGCACTCAGAACAGGGCCGAACACTTGCGGCCCTCTCCTCTCGATTTCCACATAAACACTCATACTCTGCATGTTCTTCTGTTGTTTGAGCAACATTAGAATTCTATATCCTTCATTTCTGGGAAAAGACTGTTGTTCCAGAGAAGGGATGACCTTCGACTGTTGACAGAAAATACCTTTCCAGCACTGAATATAAAATGCCGTCCTTGGCTTGGATTCCACCATGATTAAAACACCCTTGTAAGTGCCCCTTCAAGCCAGAGAACGTTTTGCCTTCTACCAGGATGCTGCTGGAACCGAGGAGGGATCTGTCTGTCCCATCTGCCCCTGCGTCTCTCCAACTCTCTCGGCAACTGACTTCCTGCCTAGGACTTCTCCTGACAAGGAACCACGGTCCTGGAATCTGACAGTGCACGGTGCACAGCTCCGGGGAGCCCGCCCTCCCGGCAAAGGTGCATATCCATGTGCCCATCCTGCTGGCACCGAGGGCCGCCTGGCCCTGCTCCCTGAGCCCTGCTCAGCTCGGGGACCCTGACTATGACAACAGCGCAGACTCATCCGATTCTCTCCTCAGGACTGTGGCAACCAATCACCTCTGGAAGGAGCTGTCGTCGTCCTGTGACCTCTTGACCCTAGGCCCAGACACCTCCAGAGACTGCTTCCACAGGCACAGTGGGGCCCCTGGGCCCGTCCTGCTGACACACACAGGTCTGATTCATGTCACTGAAGGCCCACTTTCCTAATTTACTCACTTGTGATGGAGAAACGAGCATTTCCCCGAAAGCTGCAAGAGCTTTTCCAAAGTGCCTTCTGTGGAAGCCCTGAATTATGCAGCCATGAAACAAGGCTGGGCAACAGCCACTGCAGAACCGAAGGTGCCTTCGCCGGATTCCAGATGCTGAGCGGCTTGGTCTTTGATGTGCTACTCAAACCTGCGACCCAGTCTGTAGCCGGGTGCTGCTGACAAAGAGGTCTCCAGGCCAGCAGCTGAGATCTCAGGGAGCAAGCTGGCCTTTGCTCAAGCCCTTGAAAGATGTTACTTACGCTTAACCTCACTCCCTCCGAATCCCAGTCAGTGAGGACGCAGTGATCACTTCCACCTCTGCAGTGTCACCCAAACAAACCCGTCAAGTTTAACCAAGATCACTTCTAAAACACAATTCTGTGGCAAACTGTTCTTCCCAGTTTTTAGCCCTGATTTTAAAATGTGGCAGCTACGATCTGAATCAGAATGTTTTGTTTCTTCCTTTTAAATAAAGTGCACGGTGTTTTGCTTCATACCTGTGGGTTCAAAGCTGTGGCCCAGTGGCCTGTAAAGGACTGAGCGGAGATCATCTCCGCTGCTGTGAACTTCCCTTTCGCTGACATCTATGCAAGCCCAGCATGTAGACCATGACACAAATGTACTTCCGCTACACTCTGGTCACTGACTCACACGTTTTCCCTAGATGAGCAGCTGTGTTGTGTGATCACACAGCCAATCATCAGGTGTTTCTGGAGAGGACCCTGTCCCCCTGCATGGCCTTTGCCCATCGAAGAGCACAACCATTACCCAGGAACACTGCCAGTGTCCTCTTGGGATCAAAATAGCCTTTGTTAAAAACCCAAAGCGGAGCAACCGTGCATTCAGAGTAATAACCCTGGTCTCACGGAGCATTACTGTGTCATAAAACCCTCAGCACTTCACATCCACACACACAGAATGGGATCCCCGCGATTCTGCTGTACCCTGGACCTCTTCCCCCATGCAGATATGAAAACAGGTGAATGGATCCCTGGCACGTGAGGGGCAGAGGGAAATCGAAGTAGGGGCAGCGGGGTGTCTAGTCCCAGAGTCTGTGGCCCTAACTGCTGCCCCACACCTGCTAGGATGCGGGGGAAAAAACACAAGTCAGAATCACTCCGCACTCAAGGGTCAGCGGTTTTACAGCACTGGCACCTTAAGGGTCCCTCTGGGCTTGGAGCCGTCATTGGAAAAACAGGAACAAGAGTGGGCTTTAAATATTTGAAAGGTTTCAACAGCAGCCCTAAGAAACAACGGAATTGGCTACTAGCTGTGCCCTGTATCCGGGTCAGGCTTTGCTTTCTTCCCTGTTTATCCCAGATGCAGTAGCAACAGCTGGTGACAGAAAGAGCCACTGGCCACCGAGCGCGCTCTGGTTTGGGTAAGTCCTACCTCTGCTCTGAGTAGTCTGTGGCAAGGCCTGTGAGCCACCGAGGCCGAGGAGGGGCTCTGTGCATGCGAGTGGGTCCCTGGTTTCCTGGGCCGCACATCTACACGGTCCACAGGAAGTGAGCAGAACGAGGGACCTCAGGGAGGCCTGTGACCTGCGCCTTCCATCTGAGAACTGTTTCCCCCAGACGAGCACATCAGACCCTAACAGAGCAGACCCTGGACTCCCCAGAGACCCTTCTCTTGCTGAGGACGAGCAGGCGAAGGCAGAGGCGCAGCACCAAGGACTTAGTGGGTGCCGCTAGTCAGAAGTGGGGCGCTGGCTTTGGCACCACATGCGCTAACACTGCAACCGTCTTGAGGAGCGAAGCGGGCCCTGCACACGCTTGGGTTCCAACCACAGAGCAACCACAGAGCACCCACGGCTCTCAGGATCCGCCAGGCAGCAGGATTAACACAGCTAGCAACAACGTCGCGTACTCTCAGAAACTGTGCCCAAGGAGCTAAGTGTCTGCCACAAACAAGGGCCCTAAAGGAGCTTGGACAGATTCTCCCCGGGCTGCGCAGACTAGGGGCCCAGGCTGTCCGACTCAGTGCTTTAGGAGACCCAATGGAGAGAAACCTAACAGCCCACTCCTACCCCAACCCACAGAACCGTGAGATGTTAACTGATCATTTGCCACTGCAGTGACAGAAAACTGACACCACAAGCCCAAGACAAAGAAGAGCAGCAGCTCACTGCTGCCTGCCCTGAATTACCACACCGCAAGCGGGCTCCGGCCTGGTCTTCAACCTCTAGTTACTCCCAAAATGGCCAACACGGGGTCCTTGACCCACAGCACTGTGTGTCAGCTCCTCACCACAGCCTGAAGAGGCACCGTCCTCACCATCCCAGAGGAGATGGGCGCAGGTGAACAATGCTACTGAGTGGCAGCCCACCGCCTCCCAGCCACAGCCTTGGCACGTGCTACGACAAAGCAGAGCTCTAACCAGAGAGCCACGAAGAAAGAAATGATCCTCCACTGCAGGGAAAAAGGAGGTCATGATTTGTGGAGTGGATGCAATTTACATCTAGACCCAGTAGACAGGCAAGATTTCAAAAGATGCACGGGAAGACCTACTTTGTGAAGTTTAAGTGTGTGTGTGTGTGTGTGTGTGTGTGTTTGTGTGCGCACACACGCACAACTGGTCACCCCTGCCGTGTTCAGACCCCATCAGAGCATGGGACGGCAGAAGACAGTCTGTCACAGTTAGGGAGGAAGTGAAGAATCTGGGGAGCTGTCTCCGCCCCAAGGCGGAGCTTCCTGCAGTGGGGTCAGCAACTGCACACCCTTGGGAATTTCCAGTGGCCACCTGTAGTGAAGATCACCCCACGCGAGCGCTGGGTCACACGCACCATCCCAAGATGCCATGGGGCCCATGCCATGGAAGTCTCCAGGCCTGGCTCCTGCACGGAGAGAAGAAAGCACGCGTGTTCTGGGGCAGGATGAGGAGCACAGAACCACGGACCTGGTTCCTGGTGCCGCCCTGGGCTGCAGTCCGAGGGCCGTGGGCTCCTGCTCCACCCCATGCTCCCAGCCCTGATGTCCTCGCACGGCACGGACATGGCTGACACTCAGTTCCCGAAACAGGGAACCTAGAGATGCACGGAGCCCCTCACACGCCCGCCCGAGGGTCTTGCTCACTCCCACCCCGGGATGCCAGGCCACCTCCACCCCACTCCTCCCGCTCTGCTCAAGCCAGGCCCAGGCCGGCCCTGCCGCCTCCTCCTGCTCTCTTGCTAAGTGCTCACAGGCCCGAGGGCCTCTCAGCACGCCCAAGCTGCGCCCACGTGCTGAACGCCCACTCCCTCCCTCACTTCCCACCCAGGTCCCGGCTCCCACCTCACTGGAAAACGCAAACCCGATGAAAGCTTGGCATGATCTCCTCTCTGAAGGCTCCGACCCTCGGGATCAGGCTGAGCACCGTGCTGGTCCCTGCTGCGCTCTC